TGCTCTAAAATGGACCAATTAACATACAGTATTCGGTTGTGGGATTTCGGGATCTTTCGGCAGCCGCGTTGCAGTTGGCACTCAACTAACTGCTCGACGGTAGTCATGTCGTGTTGCACATCTTTACGAAATCAAGTGCATATCAAGCAAGCAAGCTACTTCAACATTCAACATTGAAGATCATAGTTAAAGTTAAAGTTAAAAGCTTGCTAGGTTCATAGGATAACAAAAGTAATTCAGTTTTACATTTGCCACCAACTCACCCAAGCAACAACGGCCTGCGTGGCATTTTGAACGTTCAAATATTAAAGCAAGGGCCAACGAGCAAACAACAAGCTCGTCAACAACAACAACAACAACAAGCTCGTCAACAGCAACAACAACAAGCTCGTCAACAACAACAACAACATGACGAAGCCCAAGAGCAGCAAGGCGGCCAAAGTGACGTTCACGACAAGGGTCAACGATGAGAAGACGGTGCGCGAGATGGCGGTGTTTACGGGCAAGGGCTGGGAAGCGTGGCTCTCCTACGGTCTCGAAATCTTCAACTTCTGCCAATGGCATGGCTACAACTTCGAGATCGAGCACCACATGCGCGATCTCGAAGTTGTAGCCATGCCATTGGCAGAAGTTGAAGATCTCGAGACCGTAGGAGAGCCACGCTTCCCAGCCAGCCCTTGCCCAAGCAACAACGGCCTGCGTGGCAAGTCAGGTGTGGCTGGAATACTGAACGCTACACAAATTCTATCAACTTGATATTGGCGTGGTGGATCGTTCTCTCTACTCGCGGGCGGCTTCCATCTCGGCCCAGTACCGGCGACCGGCCTCGAGCGCGCCACGCACGACTGCATCTTCCTCGTTGCCCGTGTTGATGACGACGGGGTGGTCTAGATACGTTGCGATCTCGCCTTGCATAAACTTGGACTTCATCCCGCCGCCGCAAAAGAGCACCGCGTCAACGTCTTGCGGCGTGAGCTTGGCGTCGGCCAGCGCGGCGGCAATAACCGTCCGGCCTTCTGCGAGCGACGGCGCCACGAGCCGCTGCAGCGCCGAGAGTGAAAAGGCGTGTTCAAGGTGCTTGGCGCCCTTTTGGTCGGCCGTGATGAACGGCAGGTTCACGTGGCTGACCTTGGCCGTCGACAGCTCCTTCTTGGCCTAGCATACGTGCATTCCTAAGCACTTTGTGCTGTAGGCAGTACGAACATTTTCAGCAGCTTCGCGCAGCCGGTCCATCGCGAGGCTGTCTGTCCGGAGGTCGATGGACGACTTGGCTTGAAACTCGCGCGCGAGAAGCTCAACGATTGCGGCGTCGACCGTCGCACCGCTCATGCCTTCTGTCGCCCTACGCATTCCATCCGTCGTCGTCTCTCCTTTGCGAAATCAAGCAGGCTACTTGGACGCAAGAATGACCGGCGCCGTCGGATCGGTGCAGTTGAGGATCGAGCACTGCGTCTCGACACCGCCCATATCGACCACCGCCACAGTGCGCAGCGTGTCGTCCCAGTCGGACGCGGCAAACACCGCCGCGATTGGCTCCCGCACGTACCCGAGCACGTGCATGTTGGCCGCTTGCAGAATCGCGCGCAGTCGGTCCTTCTCGGCGTCGCCAAAGCTCGGGGGCAAGGCCACGACGCACGGGACGCTATCTTCGTCCTTTTCGAGGGCGTTCGCGACTCCTTCGTGGAGCCGGCGCACGAGCGTTGTGAGCACCGTGTCGATCGTGAACGCGGGGTCGGTCTCGCTCGCATCGACGCCCAGCTGCGTCAGCGGCCGCCAGTGCAGAAGCTCGTCGCGGAGGCGAGGCACCGCGTTCTTGACGGCGAGCGCGCCAACGATGACCTCGCCGCTGCGGACTTGAACGGCCGAGGGCTCGGCGACGATCGTGTCTTCGTGTGTCCCCTTGGTGTCGAGACCAGCGAGGCGCGTGCTGCTCAGACCCAAGTCAAGGCCGAGAAGCATCGATGCACGCTCGAAAGGCTGGGCTTCCTTCTCCGCTTGGAGGCGGCGGTGCGCGCGCAGCGTGTAGTGCGCTGTGAGGGCCAAGCTCGCGCCCACGAGCCCAAGCATGATCGGGTGGCGCTCCACGGGCGCCGTGCTGCGGAAGCCACGTACATGGTCGTCGTCGCGCCGCAGCGAGACCAGCGACATCGCATGCATGGTAGGCAACGCATGGCGCGGGCTTCGCCGAAGGATTCGTTGCGCTGCGAGCATCCTAAAATGAATGTGGAATGCCGAATCCAATGCAGACGCCGAAAATAAAGTCGACCAAAGTGTGGCACATCGAAATTAGGTGGGTAAGTTACTTCGCGCGTACAGCGCTCAGCGCGAGCCGAGTCACATATGTAAGACCCTGTAGCATGCATCCAGTATCATGCCGTGTACTCTATCTCTATCTAGTTGTGCAAAACTTCCAACGGCCTGTGGTGAAGGTACGCGCGGCATGTGCCGAATATACAAAGCGGACGAGGATTTGCTGAAAATAAGCCAATCCCAGACGGCACAGCGTCGTACGACGCGTGGATTGGTGCATAATCGAGCGTGGCAATGGATTTGGCCATGAGCAATCGCGACGAGGATGAGCTCAGCGACGCCGCGTATGTGAGCGCCCGCAGCGACGATTCGTCCGAGGCCGACGACGACGGCGCTAGCAGCATCTCCTCCACGTCGCAGGTTAGCGAGGTAGACGACGCGGTCGTGCACGACCACGCCTACCTCGGCGACGACGTGGGCATCGAGCGGCCCCATTCTGCCTACTACGAGCCCGGCGCGGTCGTGGACCTGCCGCTCGTCGTGCTGCCCGATATCGTACGACACTCTCGCCTGTCTTGCTTTGCGTATGCTGCACGCGTAGGTGATTTTTCCGGGCGAGACCTTGCCCCTGCGCATGCTCTCGTCGGCGACGATCCAGCTCATTACGCTGCGGACGCGGCTGCGGCAAGAGTTTGACACATTCGCCGTCATTAGCACCCTCCACGACGTTCGAATTACAGACAATATGTCCTCACACATCTCACATATAAGCTAGCCCATTGGGACGGTCGGGACGATCATCCAGATCGAGCGCATTTACGAGCAGAACGACGTGCACCTCTCGATCGTCGGGCGCGGCTGCCAGCGCTTTGAGCTCTGCCGTATCGCGCACGGCAGCGACGACTACGCGACGCTGGCAGCCTCGGTGCGCGTGCGGCCCGACTACCACGCCCTCCGAGTACCGTTTGCCCAGTACCACGACGACTCGATGTATCACGTGATGGCCCACGCTTTGCAGTAGGAAGCGCGCCGCCTTTGGCTACTGGCGTCCGTCCGAGTACAACCTCTTTGACGGGCATGTGCTCGTGCGCAAGGCCAAGGCGATGCTCGCAACGTCGGTCGAGTGGCGCGGCGTGAACGCGCTCGTCGTTGACGACGCCCACGCCGCGCCGGACGACCCGACGCAGTTTTCGTACTGGCTTGCTGCGCACGTGCACTTGAGTGTCGACGAACGACGAGCGCTATTGCGGGTCGACTGCACCGTGCGCCGCCTCCACGACCTGCTAACGTGGCTCCACGACCACACATCAAGTAGCATTGCGTGCCGGACGTGTCGCACGCTTCTGGCCCAGTCGACCGACATCTTCAGCACGCAACGGGTTCAATGCTGTACTTTCTCGAGCTATCGACTCAGAAACGGGAATAGGCAGGCACATTTGTGAATCCGGGTGGCCACGTGCACCAGATTCTGACCTTGTACAGCGTCCAGAGCGAGCAAATCGTGTGCGTCGGGCGGCCAACGACGCGCGATACGTGGTTTCGAGGCTACTCGTGGCAGTGCATGTACTGCGGCACTTGCGACGAGTTTATCGGGTGGCGCTACGCGTCCAAGCGCCAGACGCCGCACGTGTTTTACGGCCTCGTGCGCACTGCAATTCGGTAGCTCCTCGTAACGCAACTCCAGATGTCATGGTTACGATCTGCATTCTCCGGCGACCGCACCCGTCACCCTGTCGACGTGAGCGATTCAGTCGAACGTTATTGTCGCAACGGAATGACTAGACGACGAGCTAATTATATGAACAGAGCGACTTGATTGGCGCGCTAATCTCAGACCAGACAGCCGAGTTGCATTTGTGAAACACCCTTGGTGCCTCGGAGGCATGGACAGCGACTCGGCGGACGAGAGCCAAGTCGTCGGCGACTACATCCTCGGCAAAACCATCGGCCGCGGTACGACACCGTCGTCCTTCGTCCCCTGTGATGGCTTCAATGGCGTAGGCACGTTTGGCAAGGTCAAGGCGGGCATGCACCTCCCGACGGGCGAAAAGGTGGCCATCAAAATCTTGGAGAAATGCCGGATTCTTGAGGTCGCCGACGCCGAGCGTGTCGCCCGCGAGATCAAGATTCTCAAGCGCAACTACCACACCAACGTCATACAGGTTCTTTATTCTGATTGAGATGCAGATTCAGATTGTGAGTGGGTAGCTCTACCAAGTGATTGACACGGCCCAGAGCATTTACCTCATCATGGAGTACATTGACGGTGGCGAAATGTTTGAGCACATTGTCAAGAACCACCGCATCCGAGAGAAGGACGCGGTGCGGATGTTTCTCCAGATCGTCGACGGCCTCGACTACCTCCACCGCAACGACGTCACGCATCGGTCCGTCGCCTCTTCCGACGCGAGAATCAACTGACGGTACTTGTAGGGACCTCAAGCCAGAGAACCTCTTGCTGCAGCCACACCCGTCGGGCTTGATTGTCAAAATTGTCGACTTTGGCCTGAGCAATACGCACGAGCAGAACCGACTGCTGCGCACGGCGTGTGGGTCGCCGTGTTATGCTGCGCCCGAGATGATCGAGGGCAAAATGGTGCGCAATAATGGTCGATATGCCATAGCGAATCGTGTCGTGTGCTAGTACGTGGGCCCGAAAGCCGACATTTGGAGTCTCGGCGTCATTCTCTTTGCCATGGTCTGCGGCTTCTTGCCGTTCGAGGACAACAATACGAGTATTCTCTACAAGAAAATCCTCTCCGGGCAGTACAAGACCCCCAACTACATCTCCTCCGTACGCGACGCGTCATGTATTTTTCTGACGCAACATCTGTAGCTCGTCCAAGATCTGATTCGCAAAATCCTCGAAACGGACCCGATCAAGCGCTTTAGCCTCGATGACATTCGGGACCACGCGTGGTGCAAATCGGTCGAAGCCCAAATGCCCAAAGTCCGTGTTGCCACGTGCTCAGAAAACTGAAGTTGATTTTGGTTAGGCTCTCGTGCCGGTCGTGGCCGGCAACATCAACAAGATGGCGCTCATCAAGCTTGAAGAGCTCGGGATGGACAAGGAGGCCGTGACGCAGTCGGTCGCGACACAAGCGTACAACAGCCTCAGTGCGAGCTACTACCTCATTGCTCTGTACCAACGCCCATCCCGACCCTGACGCAGTGCTGACTCTGCGTGTAGGAAGCTCACGCGGCCCGTCGAGCGTACAGCCAAACGACGGCGGTACTCGGCCTACAACCAGAGCTCGGACCGTGCCGCGCTCGAAGACGCGCAAATGGCCGTCACAAAAGCCAAGCCCGTCAAGCCCGTCTTGCCCTCGATCGACGATGGCGCTGGGAAAGAGAGCGCTGTCGTCCCAGCAGCGACCGTCGAGGCCAAGCCCCCAACGACCGAGCCGAGCGCGGGGCCGTTCAAGCCACCGGCGTCGCTTCGGTCGGGACGCAATATCGTCGAGGCGGCGACGCCGGTCATTGGGTCCGGTGTTGTGCCCGTCCCGCCGACCGAAACAAAAGAGGCGGCGCCAAAACCCCGGACGCGCGCAACCATTTCGCTCGGCGCGGTCTTGGCCCCGATTCTTCCGGGCGGGAGCTCGGCCACATACGACGACAATGGCAAGCCGAGCGAGACGACGCGCGTGGGCGCCCTCTCGATCGCGACGCGCGCCAAAAACATGATGCCGTTCAGCTTCAACGGCGGCGCGCGCAAGGAAGCCAAGGCGAAGCGCGTGACGCGCCACGGCAGTATCCAGAAGTCCAAGCAAACCGAACTCGCGATGGTGCAGAAGCTCATGAACCGCATGACGTTTCACACGCCGGCGACCATCGAAGAGGAAGACGCGAGCCCGTCCAAAGACGCGGTGAAATCCAACTTGGACACGAGTGGGAGCGCCAAGGACGCAAGCTTTGTCGTGGACGCGGCCCGGAAACCAGAGCCACCACCGGGCGCCAAGACGTCACCACCGCGACCGAGCCCCAAGGTTGACGAAGTGATCGAGCCGGTTGCGACAACAGCTACGACTACGACAACAACGATGCCAGCGGTAGACACACAAGCACTTGTATAGGCCCAGGATGTCAAGTTTCGTGGATCTTTAAATTTGCGTTCAAGTGTTATAGAAAAAGACTAGGGTGGGGTCTGCGGCGACCAGCGCCACACGGCCGCGCTCTGCACAAAGAGGTGCTCCATTGCGCGCAAGAGCTATGCCAGGAAAGGGTTAGCAGACATATAGGAGCCGAACGTACGTCGTCGACTTCGGACTTCGTGAGCTGGCTGCGCATGGCATCGAGCCACGTGAAGATCGTGTGCAGGCACTGCGTTGTGGCCAGTAGGTCGTCCTTGGCCTGTTTATGCTACGAGACATGGACCGTGGATCTCCTAACGTTTCTGATGCATATATATATGCGTACCTCGAGTGTTCGCTCCTGGATGAGCTGGATGGAGGCCTTGGTTTTTGCTTTGTTGAGCTAGCCAGTTGGGGTTAGGTATCCATTATCCATCAAAGTGGTGGAGGCGCCGACCTTGCGCTGGGCCGAGTCGAGTGTGACCTTGATTTGCTCTCGCACGGCCATAAAGACCTAGTTGCATATGTGTGAATTGTGGGAAGCTATGTCTCTATCGCGCACCTCGACTTCTTCGAGCTTGCGCACTTTGTTCTCGAGCGGCTGGACGACGGTGGCGTGAAGCCGCACCTACAGCGGTCCGTCTGTGTGTGTGGTACATTCTGGTATAGCTACGTACGCTGCACGCGATAAACGCGGTTTCCATGGACGTAGCCGCGACGACGATGTCCATGCGGGCGTCTTCGAAGAGGGCGCTCACCTCGGTGCGCTTGATGTCGCGCCAGAGCTCGGCCATCTCTACGGACGATTCCGCTAAGAATTCTTAGTCCGCGAGGTTGGATACCGTAGAGCAGCGACGTAATCCGTCGGACTTTGACCAAAATCGATCGCAGCGCCGCGAGCACGTTCTGGATGTCTTCCTGCTTGGCCGCGTACTGGGCCTCGGAGGCTAGCACAGGGCCGGCGTTGGATTTGAAGACGAAGCGCACCGCCTTGTGGCACGCCACGCGCTTGAGTGCCATCGCGCGCACGTACAAACTCCGCGCTTGGTACTTGGTGACGAGCTCCTCCATCGTCAGCCACGCGTGGAGGCCCGGGGTATCCGCCGCCAACATCGTCGCATTGGACAGCGCGGTGATCGAAGCGTGAACGTCTTGCATCGTGTTCGTTTGGCCAATTGCGCTGTTTGTGGAAAGGACCGAGATGCTCGCACGCGAGCTTTTGTGGGAAAAGCGAGCAGCTCTCGGGAGAAACGGCGCCAACCGGCTCGCAGCCCCAAGCGCATGGTCATAGCCACTGGGTCATACCAATGGTATATAAGATCTCTTATATACCCTGGGTCATACCCATGGGTACATATACCCCTGGTCGTGTACCTTGCTGGCATCCTAAGATCTCGTCCGCTGTGATGCAACGTCGTCTGTCTCTTCTGGCAGGATGTGTCATCGTCGCATGTGCGTCGACCTGCATCACGCATCGGCTCATCAGGCACTGCCTGTCCAGCAATGTTCCTTCGAGATGCTTTGCACAACCAGTGGTGTCATCCGTGCCGTGTCTAGTAACGTGCGTCAGCGCGTGCCGCTCCGGGCTTGTCGCGTGGCGCGCTGCTGCTTGTTTACTTGAGCGCGATCGGTTTGTCGTCGGTCGCCATCTGGTGGTCAGGATAACCAAGTCAAGTGATGGTGCAGTAGCATGGCTGCGCTTTGGCCGCCGGCCGAGGCATCGCCGACCAGCAATGTGGCTTGCTCGTACCTGACACGACTGCGTTGACGTCATTCCTTCCATGACGTTAAGGTCGCCGTATGGCTCCGCAGAGCTCCGTCGGCGCTTCGAGATGCATGTGCCACGGTGCAAGCTCGGAATGGGTCCGGACGCCAGCTGCGGGCCATTTTCTATTTCGCCATTATGATCCGCGTCCGAGGCGTCGGCCACGTCGTGCTCCGCGTGCGGACGATCCAGCTCGCCGAGATGCTGCGCTTCTACATGGACATCCTCGGCTGTCCGATCGAGCGCGTCCAAGAGGACATTGGCCTCTACCAGCTGCGCGCGGGCCGGAACCTCCTCGACTTTGTGCTCGCGGAAGGCAAGCTCGGCCGCGCCAAGGCCAAAGACCCACAGACGCCCGACCACCTCTGCCTCCAAGTCGACTCGTTTGACGCGGCGCACGTCCGGCGAGACCTCATCCACGCTGGCGTCCGCGTCGGCGACTACGGCGCGCGCTACGACGGCCACGCGTGGAGCCTCTCTATTTATGACCCCGAGGGCAACGTGATCGAGCTCATGGGCCCTGAGACCAACGCGACCGTCTTGTAGCTAACGTATATATCCTCCTACTCGACCCCACATCACGTCCACCTCTGGCATGGGACTGCAGAGCTGGTGCGTCATCGGCGGCGACGTCCATGGTCCATCGCCCACCGCGAGATCCCTTCGCCGCAGCGCTGTCGCCAGCGCCGCGACTTGCTGCAGCGCACGCCTCTGTGCCCAGCAACCGTGTCTGTGTCGCCATCGGACCGTGCGTCACAGCAAGCAACGCCTGGTCGGCCGAGTAGCTCCGGTGCGTGCACGGTCAGCTGCTCCAGCCTCTGCTGGACGGCTGGCGGTCAATGACTGGCGGTGAGGCGCAGCACTCGTACGTGTCGAATGGATCGTCGGTGGGCCGACGATCTGGGCGGGGCACAGTGCTCAGCTCCGTGCCTGGGTTGGACGAACTGCCTGTCTCGAGTGCGGCAGCAATGTACTGTACTATAGCAGAACTCCTACATGTACCTTTACTGCCATAGGGCTAGCAAGTTGCAATGCTTGGAGCGATGAGCTCTTCCTTGCTGTGCAACGTGGTGACCAGTACCAGTAGCTCGGATTCCATTGCTTGTCGGCTGGACAGGCGTGTCGTCGTTGTCACGCGGTCGTTGTTGCGTGCGATTAGCCACGAATTACGGAAAGGTCGGGTAGGAATTCCAGAGGTATCCGGACGTCCATTGAAGGTCGCGCGGTGGACGGCGATGTTTCGCATGCGCAGCAGCGAGATGGAGTTCCTGGTGCGAAGATGCCCAGCATGGAGATGCATCATGGACGCATAGGCGGAACAAGAGCTCGTCTCGGTCATGCCCTTCTTCGAGCTCAAGGAGAATGGCGGCTTGCTCCATGGCATCAGCGTACGGCGACGCTTCGCTGCATGATCCATCATGCTACGCTAGGGCGACTTTGGTCCGTTCCACCCGTCGATGGCGACGCACGTTCCTCTTTGGCTTGCGATCAAGCTCAAGCAGCTCAACAAGTGCCGGATCCTCCAGCCGTCCTGGTTCACCGTCGGTAGGTCATCGATCACATCCCATGCGATCCTCATACGCGTAGAGCACTTGATGGAGCGCTTGGAGGGCGAAAACACGAGCGAAGCCTTCGAGTCGCTGCCGTTCCACTACCTCGAGATCGCGACGCTCCTCCTCAAGAAGTACGTACGCAAAAGATGTAGCTGCGGTGGGCTCATGGGCCCCAGTGCACCCGACGACATGGAGCAGGCCGAGAAGATGCGGCTCATCCTCGAGGACATCCAGCATACGCGGCAAGAGAAGATCCGCAACGGTCTCTGCGTCCTTGCCAAGGACGTGCAGACCGGTGGCAGTGCCCATGCTGTCCAGCTCAACAACGTCGCCGCCATGGAGATCAATTCGGTGCGGCAGTTTATGACCAAGGTAGAGCAACCAACATCTCTACCTCTTATCGACCATGCGCACTCCATTGGTAGTCGCTCAAGAAGTTCTACGAGCTCAACGTCATGGGTGGCGCAGGTTCGCGACTCTTCATCCTCGGTGCGTGTGCTAACTTGCGTGGTAGAGGTCATTTCCCAGAGCCAGAGCCAGAGCCAAGCTTCGTCCATGGGTATGTTGTTCTTGCTGCAACGACAGCTACATTGGCTATTGCTTATTCTTAGATGCGACACCCAGCAGTGTGTCCCGGCTTCGGCGTCACCGCTAAGTCGCTACAACTACACGTACCGAGGCTTTGTCTCGGTGGATCCTTTCTTCTTCGACTTGGTTGGCGTCTTCTTGCCAGTGGCTTCGATCGGCAGTAGCGTCGCCTTGCCGAGTGTACTGGGCGGCAGCGTCGTGACGGCGACGGGCGTGATGGGGCCGACGGGGGCCTGGTTCTTCTGAGCGAACGACGCTTCCCGCTCGCGCTTGTCTTCTTCGGCGGCCGCGACGCAGCAGATACCGCAGAACGCGGCGCAGGCAATGCCGCCGCAGATCTCTTCGGCTTCGCTCATCGCGGTGGCAAATCTCAAGTGGGTATCTTGACACGGCGGCGCCGGGATCTCAGCGCGAACGTTCGGCATCTCGTCCGTCAGATTCGCTTCCGCCTCAGCATTGCTAGCAAGCTGTGCCGATCTGCCCACTGGTAATTACGCCCTCCGTCGAGCCTTCAGGGTGATCGTGTCAGAGTATTCTTTGTTTTGGGAAACGTTCAGTAACGTGGCGAGAAGCCAACCCTTTTTATGATACAGACAGTACAGGCAACAGAGTTGGTACGAAGCGGCGTTGGCCGACAGCTCGACTTCAAGTCCAATATCTTGATGTCGTACCATGCGTGCGTTGACTGTGAGGCGACACGGGCACGGCAGCTGTCGCATTCGTGGAAGTCCTGCAGTGGTCACGCGTTCTCGCTCGAGCCTTAGCGCGGGTACATGTTAGCATGAAGGAAAAGAAGAGAGTCCTATGGAGGCCTTGAGATGAACGCCGCATTCGGTGCCACGACCCACGACCCATGCCCACAACTAGACTCCCTCGAAGGTACGCTCTCAATTTGGTTGCAACGCACCGACTTTATAAATGAGGTTGACCGCACGACAAGATGTGGTATATTGACTCAAAGCACAAGATGGGCTGGCCACGACATTGCTCAGTATGCTTGCATGCTCCCGGTCGCAGCGTAGGAGGCTCGCTGGATGCTCATCAGCGTTTGTGCAAGATCGCCCACAGGACGTACATTCTGCTCTGCCACCGGAAAAACACCGGGAAATGGCCGCCATGCATTGGTCATTACGTAAAGCTGTCGCCCAATCAAAAGCGGCGGATTGAGTGGAAAGCAACCTGAGCCAATGTATTTCAGCTTGTAGCCGCGATGGAGGAGTCGCTGGACGAGAAGGCGCTGTGGCGCGACCGCAACAAGATCTTCGTCGCCGGCCTGCCGCTCGACGCCGATGACAAGGCGCTCGCCTCCAAGTTTGAGAGCTTTGGCGAGATGTTCCAGGCCAAGGTCGTCTACGACAACAAGACGCAGCGCTCCAAGGGCTTTGGCTTCGTCACCTACTGCTCGTACGAGAGCGCGCTCGACGCCGTGCGCGACATGGACAAGAAGGTACATCACAAAGCTCGTTCACGTCTTGGCATCTCATGCAGGGCGGTAGAAATGGGACAACCGTGTCCTGAACGTGCGCTTCCTGACGCCCAAGGGCGGCGCCGCGGGCGCGCCGATGGCGCCGGCACCGGCGCCCCGCGTTGTCGAGCCGCGTCCCGAAGGCTGCACGACCATCTTTGTTGGCAACATGCCGTACGAGATCACAGAAGAGATCCTGCGCAAGGTTTGCGCCGTCTGCGGTGACATCAAGGCGATTCGGTTTGCCGAGGACATCAAGACCAAGGAGTTCCGTGGCTTCGGCTACGTGCAGTTCTACGAAGGCGACGCGGCCGAGACGGCCGTGCGCACGCTTCATGGTACCGTCGTCATGGGCCGCCCGCTGCGCGTCGATTACGGCGCCCGCGATGCGCCCGAGGTCTCGGAGATGAAGGAAGCCCTTCAGAAGAAGCTCAAGAAGGGTATTTGCCACAAGTTCCAGCAAGGTTTGTGTGACCGCGGTGACGCCTGCAAGTTTGCCCACATTGAGGCCAACGACCCGATGACGGGCGGCATCCCGGTGATCAAGACCGCGGCCAAGGCCGGGCCGCGCTGCATCAACAACGTCCCGGACGATGCACCGGTGTGCATGGGCTTCCAGCGCGGCAACTGTACCCGCGGCGACAAGTGCAAGTTCCGTCACATCGTCGGCGAGACACCGGTGGACGAGACACCGGTGGCCGAGACGCCAGCGCCGGCGCCGGCACCGACGTTCGTCGTTGTCAACAACGCCCCGGAAGACGCGCCCATTTGCATGAGCTACCGCCGTGGCAAGTGCAAGCGCGGGAACCTTTGCAAGTTCCGCCACATTGATGGCGACCTCCCAGACGAAAACGACGATGCACCGGTGGCGGTTGCGGCACCAGCTGCCGTTGTGGCGCCGGTCGTCGAAGACGCTGCCGACGACGTCGACGACGACACGCCGATTTGCAAGAGCTACCAGCAAGGCAAGTGCAAGCGCGGTGCGCAGTGCAAGTACCGCCACGTGGGTGCGCCGCCGACGCCGGTGCGCGCGCCTGTGGCCATGATTGGTGGGCTTGCCGTATGTCAAAAGTTCCTCAAGGGCCAGTGCGCCAAGGGCGGCACCTCGTGCCGCTTTGCGCACCCTGGCGAGTCGCAGGCGGTCGCGGACGCCAAGTCCGAGTACCAAAAGCGCTTCCAGAGCGTGTGCTACAACTGGCAGAACGGCGGCGCGTGTGCCCGTGGTGACAACTGCCCGTTCGAACACAACAACGCGCACGTGGCCAAGACGACGACGACGACGACGACAATGGTGCCTGACGTCGATGACGAGCCCGAGGCTCCCGTCGCCAAGAAGGAGAAGAAGGAGAAGAAAGAGAAGAAGGAGAAGAAGTCGAAGCGGGCTGCCGACGACGATGAGGAGGATGAGGACGACCGCGCGGCGCGGAAGAAGGCCAAGAAGGACCGAAAACAGAAGCGAAGCGAAGACTAAGCGCAGAATTCTACAACTCATCGTGCTTACATAGTCTGTGTTGGCGGCACAAACGCTAGAAGCTACCGTGACGCGAAGGCTTCTTGTGCTGTAGTACGTCGGTGTCAGCAGTAGTGTCGTCGACTTAATGCTCGACGACGGCGCGATGGCCCGAAGCCTCACACCTGTCCAAGGGCTGAAGCCACTTGGAATCCAAAACGCACCGTGGTCTTTGTTCTAGCGCTGCCGCGACGGAGACTCTTCTTCGTGTGCTGCTGACGCCGTCGATTTCGAGCGCCTCCCGTTTGGCGAGCCGAGTCCAACCAGCTCACGCACCGCCCAACTGCCCAACCGCCATGCACCATGTCTGACGCCAATTCGGTCACAGATGTCCCACTACAGCTTTATCGAGTTGAGCCTGGCGCTCCATCTCGCATTCGACCATGCACGCATTGAGATGGTACACGCACCGCGCTGCAAAGCGGCAGGCTGCACAGGCACTCGACGTCGTTCTACTAGGCGACTACTGGGCTATGAAGACGACATACAACACCCGTGCGACGGCGACACTGCCACAGGACGAGGTCTGCGACTTGATGAATCGGGAGTCCCGTTTCATCAAGTCGCAGAGCCCGTCTCCATACACTCGCCGTTCACTGCAAGACACTACAGGAGTTTACATCTACGAATACCGCGAATACCCCAAGCCCTCGGTCATGCGTAGAACATAGGGTAACATGCGATCCGACGTTGTTTACATGTCGGTCATTGATTTCGTGCCAGGATTACGTACTGCGATAGTGTAGTACTTCCGTCCCCGACGCATTAGCGCACATAGAGCCATCTTATCTGTCCTGGTCGTCGCCTCGTTCGGCGCCAAAGCCGCAAGCACGCGTTTGGCACATTTCGAGTGCATCCAGTGGATGAAACAGCAGTCGTGGTTCCAATTTGCTGGATCGATCTTGCCAAGGTGCGTGTTTGAAAAGGCGCACCTGGCTGTAATCCGTGCGGTAAGTGGAGGATAAGTGGAGAGCCACAAGCGGAGATCTCGACCAAGATGGCAGCCAAGACGGCGTCGCCCATGGCATCCTCGTCGCCATGCGCGTCGTCCATCCTGCGGAAACGGCTGGCGCTCTTCCTCGGCGCAGCCTGTCTTCTCGTGCTCGCGCAGGTGGCGCAGCTCGGCCTCTTCACGAAGGACCACCACCACGCCAAGCTGCGTGGCCAGCGCCAGAAGCAGCCGCGCCTGCCCTTGTCGCCCGCCGAGACGATGCACGCGCTCAACTTTACGAACGAGGCGCAGCTGTCGCCAAAGCAGCGCACGCGCCGAACGGCCATCAAGGCAGCGATGCAGCACGCCTGGAGCGGCTACGAGACGTACGCGTTTGGCGCTGACGAAGTCGGGCCCGTCTCGGGCCGGCGGCGGCAAAACGTCTGGGGTGACATTAGCGTGACCTTGGTCGACGCGCTCGACACACTGTACATCATGGGCATGATGGTACGCTGCCTCCTCCTGCGTCACAGCTCACGCTAGCTCCTAGGACGAGTTTCACCGCGCGCGCGACTGGGTCGCGTACAACCTCGACTTTACCCACTTGGGCGTCGACGGCAACGTCGTCTCGATCTTTGAGGTTACGATCCGAGAGCTCGGCGGTCTCCTCGGCGCGTTCGCCGTCTCGCGCGACCCGGTCTTCCTCCAGCGCGCCATCGAGTTTGCCGATTTGACCGCGCCCGCCTTTGACGCATCCAGCGGCGTCTTTTACACCGAGTTCAACCCGCACACAAAGGAGCGGTCGATGCATTCCTGGACACAGTATCGGTATCCTCTCCACGTCCTCATCGTCGACTTGACATCCTCTCTCTAGCGGGCTCTTGGCTGACCTCGGGACGCTCCAGCTCGAGATGCGGTTCCTCTCGGACGTCACAGGGGATCCCCAGTACGCCCAGCGGGTACCTTCATCGTCTCCATACGAAAATTGCTGAACCGGCAGTGCATAGGGCGACGCATTTTACGCTGTCGCAGAGCGCGAAGGGTCGTTCAAGGACACGGGGCTCTTCCCTGTGCACTTCGACCCGAGATCCAACCAGTTCGCGTCCACCAACTCGTTCATCACGATCGGCGCACTCGGCGACTCGTTCTACGAGTACCTCCTCAAGGTCTTCCTCTACAGCGGCAGAAACCTCGCCAAAGACGGCTTCCTTCGCCGCGCATATGACGCGGCTGTCGACGGCATGGAGACGCACCTCCTCATGAAAGGCTCAGCAACCAACGCCGACGGCTCCGAGGCCACGTACTACTACCTGCGCATGCTCGATATCCCGGACCTCCACGGCACGCAGGAGCAAGACCACTTGCTATGCTTCGTGCCTGGCATGCTCGCCCTCGGTACCGTCGGCGAAACCGATGCAAGCAAGGTCGCCCGCCATCTCGACATTGCCAAGAAGCTCATGGAGACGTGCTATGCCATGTACGCCCGCCAGCCAACGGGGCTTGCGCCAGACCTCGTGAGCTTCCCGGGCTTTGAGGTCAAGTCGTCCGTGTACCATCTCCGGCCCGAGACGATCGAGAGCCTCATGTACATGTACCGGATCACAAAGGACGAGAAGTACCGCGAGTGGGGCTGGGAGATCTTCCAGGCGACCGAAAAGCACGCCAAGACCACGTACGGCTACGGCGCCGTGTGGTACGTCGACAGCGACTACTGGGTCGAGGTCGACGACAAGATGGAGAGCTTCTTCATGGCCGAGACGCTCAAGTACCACTACCTCCTTCAGAGCCCCGAGAGCTTTGTGCCGCTCGACAAGTACGTCTTCAACACGGAGGCCCACCCGTTCAGCATTCGACCGGCGACCTCCGCGTAGCAAAGAGAATGTTGCTCGGATCTACTAGAAATTGCATGCACGTGTCATCTTGTCATCTTGGAAGCATGTCAGCGACGTCGGGCCGGCTTGTCTACGCCGCCATGGCCTAGCGTTGCTGCTTCTGTGGCGAACCCGTCGCATCGCATCCTTGGCTTGCTGTGGCAGCGTGGCGAGCGCGTGTTGACCGAGCTGCAGCTACACCGAGTGCTCGTCTCGCCCGGCGCCTTCGCCGCGGCCTTGGCACCAGCAAGCACGCATGTCGCTGCTCCATGGCGGCTACTCGGTCCGTGGGTAGGAACCGCGATGAGTGTCCACCCGGCGCGCCAGCGTGGGACATCTCGGCGATTGCCGCACCGTATCCGAACCCTTTTTGGCAAAAGCGCACCTGAAACGACGAGGTGCACCATTGCAGATTGTGAAGGTCGACGATGGTGGAGCAAGCGCTCTTCCGGCTCCGCGTGCCACTCGTGCTCGCGATCGCGTGCCTCTTTGTCTTTGCGCAGATCTACATCGTCACGCACTTTGAGGCGCGGCTCTTCTCGGGCGACCACTCGTTCGAGCGCTTCTCCAAGCTGCGCGGTGCCCGCCATATCGTCCGCACGTCCCTGCCGACGCACGCGCCGCTGGCCGGCGCGCCGCTCAACGTCTCGGCAATGGCCGTGGCCTCGGAAGACCAGCTGGACGCACGCCGCAGTGCGATCAAGGCGGCGATGCAGCACGCGTGGGGCGGCTACGAGTCGCGTGCGTTCGGCGCCGACGAGGTCAGCCCAGTCTCGGGCAACCGCCGACAAAACGTGTGGGGTGGCATTGGCGTCACGCTCGTTGACGCACTCGACACACTGTACATCATGGGCATGAAGGTACGTGCCTTCGTATCATCGCAGAGATGCTTGCAGAGATGCTGAGGCGAGGATGTAGGACGAGTTTCAACGGGCGCGCGACTGGGTCGCCAACGAGCTCGACTTTATCCATCTCGGCGTCGACGGCGGCACGATCTCGATCTTTGAGGTCACCATTCGCGAGCTCGGCGGGCTGCTCAGTGCATACGATCTGTCGCAAGACCCGATCTTCAAGGAGCGCGCGATCGAACTCGCCGACTTGCTCGCGCCGGCCTATGACGCGGCCGAAGGTGTTTTCTACACCATCTTCAACCCGCACACCAAGCAAAAGCAAATGAACAGCTGGACGGGCTTCCGGTATGTGGCTTCTTGATCGATATGTCGTCTCACTTGTTGTCGGCAGTGGCCTCCTCGCCGACCTCGGGACCCTCCAGCTCGAGATGCGGTACTTGAGTGCGATCACGGGCAACCCCATCTATGCCGAGCGGGTACGTGCTTGCCTTATTCAGAGCGTAGAGTGAGCATTTGCAGGGCAACGCATTTTACGACGTCATCCAGCGCGAAGGCTCGTTCCAGGCCACGGGGCTCTTCCCAGTGCACTTTGAGCAAGCGTCCGGCACGTTTGCGCGCACAAACTCGGTCATTACGATCGGCGCGCTCGGCGACTCGTTCTA